CCTGTACTTCCTGCCTGGCTCCTGGCCAATGAGCGATTTATTAAATCAATACAAGTGACAAATCTTTACAGTGAACAAGAACGTTATCCCACATCGGTGACGGGCAGAGGGAAGAGCTACTGAAGTCAAGCTGGATATAGACATTGTCCCTTCAGTTGACATTTCAGAGGAAAGCCCTGTTTTCCCAAACCTCAGAAGCCCAGAGCTTTGCTGAACGAGGAATTTCTGAATGTTCAAAGGTTACCTATTTGTGGAGCTAGTGAGTATGCCAAAGTCCTGGACGCTTAAAAAGCAAACGTCTCTTTATTTGCTATAAAAATTTGTCCCAGATGCTGGGAAGACAGCTCAGTGGCTAATAGCTCGTTCTCCTGTTACAGAAGACCCAGGTTTGGTTCCGAGCACCCACAATGGGCCGCTCACATCTGCCCTGACCTGCGGGGCACCACTCGAGCTCACACCCGGATGTGCTGCAGTCACCAAAGAATCTGGAATGATAAGAGTCAGATGGACACAAAGAAACAGATAGCAAGACAGGTTTCTGATCAAGCTGCAATTTTTATTTATTTTTTTTATTTTTCACAGGGACCTTATATGAGGTGCCAAGCGGGGAGCTTGGCAGGCAGGGAAAGGCGGTCTGAGGCCATTTGCCTGATAACCAGGCTGAGGAATGTCCCTGTACATGAGTCCTTGAAGGCAATCAGGGAGTGCAGGATGCTTGGCAAGGTCGGAGAGTGCGGGTGTCTAGATAGGGCTGAAAGGGCTGAATGTGAGTTGGGTTACACAATGCATGGGGGAAGGGTTGCTAGGTAACCTGACCATGAAATGTTTCTCCCTTTCTACAAGCTACTTCTATGGGTCCAAATGCTATGTATCAGGAGGGAAGGATTGAAGGCAGCTATTCTTTTAACATAATGGGTTATTCTTAAAATGCTGGCGACTTTCTCTGAAGCAGCCCAAGTCTCTTAGAGGTCCAAGGATACTTTTGACATGGCTCCCGACACACATCTGCCTTTTAACTCCAAATCCAGGGAATCTGATGCGCCTTCCTAGACTCTACAGCAACTGTACACACACACACACACACACACACACACACACACACACACACACCATAGAAAAATAAAAATTTATCCTTTAAGATGTGTCATGCATACAGTGGTTCAGTAAATAATGCAATTGGACTTCTCACAGTTCTAAAGGTTAGAAGTTTGTTATTAGGGTTTCAACATGCTTGGGTTTTTTGTGAAAATCCTTCACTAGGTTGCCAACTATTAACACCTCCTTGTATCATGTCAGAAAGAAGGGGAAAGATTTATTTGTTCTTTTATAACTACAGTAGCCCCATTCTGAGGGCTCCACATTTGTGACCTATTGCTTCAAGGCCCCATGACCTAACACTATCACAGTGTAGGTTCGGATTTCAATGTTAATTGAAAGGAGAAACTTTCAGTCCACAACAGCAGACAAATAGAATTATTGGGAGCTCAATAAGGCAGTAACTTTGTACAAATATTTCACCAAAGTTAAAGATTTATATTGGAGATTTAACTTGCATGACAGTGAGCTAATGCTTCAGAGATAGACTTGGATAACAAATGATTTGTTCATGCCAGTCTCAACTTTGTTTGAATTTCATCCTATTCTCAGGAATTCAGTAATTTGGCATGCCTAAGTGTGTGTGTGTTTGTGTGTATTTTAGAAAGAACTTTACTGTAGATAATTGTTTTAGGCATACACAATACATATTATAGATTTATTATAAAGTGCACAATCGTAGTGATTCTAAGATCTAAATAAGCATCTTTGTGATTTGATGGTGTTCCTATATGTTTTTGATCTACTTCAAAAAAGATAAAAAATACTCATAACACTAAGATATTAAGACTCAAGATATATACTGCTAAAAATAACTTGTAAGAACTAGCTCAGTGTGAAAATAAATTGACTGTGTGTGATTAATTTTAGTTGTGGTCACTCCTAAATTTTAGTTTTAAAAAAAAAGGGGTAAATTGAGGATTGCTTTTTTTTTTTTTTTAATACCATGCTCAAACACTTTCCAATAACCCTGCTCACAGTCAAGTCTTTGACTCGGGCTCTGTGGGGGAGACAGTAACCAGAACAGGCCACCTTTGACCCTTACCTCATTCTCTTGGGTAAACTCTCCAAGTATCTTTTTGTCAACCAATTTACAAATAATGAAGGTAGGATATTTGTGTACTCTTTAAGGCTGTTAACCACCAAGCCAAAGGGAAAACACAGGGCTTAGGATTCGCCCACTCAGTACAGGTATGTAATGCTTGCACTGTTTCCTAGAAAGGCAACTTACTTAGCAACTGTATTTGATTTCCTTATGCAGGTGCTCTGTAACGGCTCCATCTTGCTAATGCCTCTTTCATTAATGAGGCAAATACAAGTTTGACACATGCTTACTCTCTCCTTGTATGAGATGTGCTTTTAACAGTAAGCAGAGAGAACTGCCTCAAGGTGGCTACTTGTGATGGTTATACAGGGAGGATGGCAAGACTCATTAGAGCCTTGGATAGATTATAAGGAAACTCACACTTATTTTGTGGGTTAGTCATTCTCCAACTTTGTTGTGCATGATTAGCCTTCCTTTTTTTGAAGTGCAATAGTGGCTTCTGTCCACTTCCACCAACACCTGTCTCACATGGGGCACCTAGGTCAGGAGACAATGGGGTCATGTGACGTCCTGAAGAGTTCTCAAGTCTTTGAAGCCATAGACAAAGCCTCACATCTCAGATTTCTCCAGCTGGCAGGAAGGAGCAGAGACATCCTACCTTTGGCTCCTCCTACCCAGTCTCCTTCAACATAATCAGATGTGTCAGGAGGTCCAATGGGTATGGCCATTGAGGGCATAGATTAAGAGTCCACAAATGCAGACCATTGACCATTTGACACCAGTCATGGTTAAAGAATCCTGAATCCTAAAACCCCAAGCTTTCCTCGAATGCCCCAGCCTTTGGAATTTACTTTCCTGTGGAGAAGGAAAGAGAATACACACACGCACACACACACACACACACACACGTATATGTATATGTATATGTATATGTATATGTATATGTATATGTATATGTATATCCAGACAACATCTGAAATGATCAAGAAAGCCAGAGATGGCCCAACTCACCTGGGATTAGGTTGTATAGCTCCTTCATTGAGACTGAAGAATCCTTCTTTGGGGGGAGGGAGAGGCTCACAATTAAGCTTATGACAATTACAAGACTCACAAGGTCCTTCTCCAAGAATGTATACACAGAAAACAATTGCTAAGGCTAAAACCGTGGTGTAGCTGCTAGCAAGATGTATGCAATTCAAGGAAGGAAGGTTTTTTGAATCATTGCCCGTGGTGGGGTGGACATTTTGGTGATACAGCTGGCTCTGAGTCACCCATAATTCTGTAAGTAAATCCCCCAATTCAATGATCGCTAAGCTGGACATGTTTGGTGTCACTTCATTGATCTGTTGTGGTGCTGTCTGTGGTGGATGGACACAATAGATGTCCACTCACATCTGCCCAGGAAAAGTCACACACAGACCAAGACTGTATTTTTTTGTTACAATGCACAACAGCAGTCCCAAGAGACACTCAATCCATTTATTGAGAACTCAAGTGACATGTCTGTATCACCAATTGTGATAAGAAAGTATCAGAAATACAATTTCACCAACTCATTTACTGCCCTTGCATCCAAAAGCAAAGAAACGAGGAACACCACCAAGCATTTACTCCACAATGGGGTATTTCACAGTGAATTTTACTTACCAGAAATGGAAGCACCCTCACCCTTATACCACACTTATTCTTTTACTTTCATGCAAATTTTTAGGAACAAATCAGGTATGAGAAATGGAGATTGCTTGTGTAGTGAATTTCAGTCCATAAATATAACAATATCTTATATTGTTTGTGGAGTATACAGAGTCCATAGCAGATACATTAACTCACTAAATCATGACAATAGCTCCATGAGGTAGGTATTATTGAATTTACAGGTGAAGTACCTGAGACTTTGAGGGTAAGTATCATGTCCAAGGAAACATAGCCATGACAAAAATGAGGATTTAAATTCAAGCCCTCGGATGCACAGATTTTGTGTGTGATTTGCAGCATGTACTATAAAAGAGAGACAATGCTTTATTTGTAGTTTACCCACCCAGGAAAAGAAAAAAAAAACAGTTCATTGTGTGTGTCTCTCCAGTGTTTTGTTTTTTTAAATAGCTTAGAAACTGGCTCCTTGACCTGTGGGTCTGTTGATATATTAAGTAGATGTTGATAATTACTTCATTTCTATAAAATTAAATTCCAAATCAACCCCCCCATTATTCTATTTTTTGTTCAGTTTTTCAAATTCTGGTAAACACAAAAATTTAGGTAAAAGAAAAAATTATATATGTCATGGGGTATGTGTGTGTGGAGGGGTCCAAACTCCAGTATATTCTGTTGATCTTGACATTTCCAAGACATGGTACCCATCTCATCCATCCAAGTGAAATTCTGTAATATGGCAATTTAATTGATCATAATATGCAACCTGGTATATAATTAGTAGACTAAATTTTTAACATGGATCTGAAACTGGAAAGCAGGTATTTACTGACAACCAATGGGGTTATAAACTTTCTCTGACTGACAGAACATAGCAGTCCAAACTTTACAAATGAGGTTGAGTCCTGATTATTTTAGAAATAGGCTAACTGAAATTCAGACACAGCTATCTAAACAAAAACAACATGCCCTCCAAAGCTAGTCTCTGGGCCACATAGTTAACTTCAACTGAAGATTCATCTTCCATTTATTTTACACAATTGAAATGAAAATTTTTTCCTCATAAGTAGAATCTGAATGCTCATAAAACAAATGGAGAACTTTTGTTCTTTTGATAATATAGTGGTGAAATGTTAAGACAAAACAACTTTGTGATTTAATGGAATAAATCTGATAATCACACAATGGAAAAAATCAACACAAGAAAGAATGATGTATTTGAGAACATTTTTAATAAATAATGTGACAAAATTACTTTTCTGATTATTGAATTTTCAGTATGCAAAATTATGGCTAAAAATAAGAGGTTTCTTACATGAACATAATGAAAACATTAATCACATGGATTGTTCCCTTAGTACTGCACACCCTTTAGATGGGACATTTCCAAATTACCTAAATGAACACACTTAGTTTTTGGTGACTACCAGCCTTTTTTTGTGGTTCAGTTTTGTTTGGCTTTGTGGGGTCAGGCCTGATACCTATGTATGACTAAAGTTTCATTTTGTTTTCTTCAAATAGCACCAATTGTAAAATTAATGAAACTCATAAATGTCAAAAATGATAGAAATCTACAGTCAGAGAGCATCACTTGGCAATTCCAAGTAAGGAAGCCTCTGATGAGCATCTAAGGAAACCTTGTAAGATTCAACATTGGCCACAACAAACTTAACACTTTTTTTTTCTTCTTAAAGTTCAGGAAAAATTGGAACCATTTGGTTCACAGCCCACAATCAAGTCTGTACATGACTTCACCAGCTGTCATCATTCAAATATTGCAAATACAAACACAGAGCATTAACAAAACAGGTTAAAAACACTTCTCAACAGTTTCTTCAATAAGACAAAAAAGGTTAATAGTTACAATGGTTTACAAATAAAGTTTAGTGATTGTGCTTTTAAAACCAAAAAAAAAAAAAAAAAAGGATTAAAAACAGTGCATTACAAAAACAAAAACCAAACAAACTTCCTTAAGTGGCACTTCTGAAAGTTGAACTGACACGACCAGAAGAAATTTAGGCCAGTTAAGATAGGGATGTCCTTACTCAATTGGTCATTAAAAACATCCACTTGCTTGTAATAGGCATATGTAGTTGCTTTTTGATTGAAAAATAGAACAAGATTTTTGCTAGGTTTACTGCTGATAATAACTAGATAACCAGAGGTCCAACTGGCTTAGCCCTACTCATCCAAAAGTACTTTTCCAAGAAGAACATATTTCAATGATTGAAATGAAGACAAAATAAAGTACCACCAGGAGTTGCAAAGAGTATATATTTACAATGCTTCTACCCCATTCAAATTATCTGTAGTTCTGCATTTGATGTATTTTTAGTTTATCCCAGCAAAGGGTGATATGAAAGACTGATTTTAAAATCATGTAAAATGAAGTATGCTTTAATTGGCATTAGCAGTTGGTCATAGAACTGTTATATTTTAAGAGCCCTTGCCATGAGGTTGATTGATCTTTGATCAATGTTTTACTGTAAATTAGCTTGATATATAAGCAGTGCAATGCCATATCTCAGGGGCAAAATGCAAAAGAACTGGTCTGTTCTTTCTTGCTGGCTGATGGCTGAAGCAAGCAGTCAAGACACTTCCCTTGCTGGAAGTCAAGTGTAACAGTTGCAACAGCAAGGGGGAAGAGGGAGGTTCATCAAGGATTAGGCAATCAATCAGCAACAATAAAAACCCAAGAATTTAAAAAAAAAAAAAAAAACAACGGTATCCCAATAGGAGGACTAAAAATGACCATTTGTACATTCTGATTGCACTGAACACTTCCTCTGGCATTGTGTGTCGTCAGACGAGAGGCATCTTGAGTGATGATTTCACATTCATATCATAAGCCTCTCTGGTTGTCTTCAGCTTTCAGTTTCCTATAAGAGATGAATTTTTGTTCAGTTCGAAAACAGATCCAAAGATAGTTGGCTTATGTTTGTTAATATTCATTGACTGTGTTTTCTCCATTCATTTGTTAGAAGGTGTTCATCACAACTAGTTCATTTCTCAGCTTTAGTTGGTCTTTATGGCAAACCCAAGCATCCACAAACTAGTAACAAATCTGGAAGTCACAGGTCAGGGCGCTGGGTTCTGGGCAAGGAAAAGTGGTCTACCTTCCCACTTCTCCTCAGTGCCATCTCTCCATTTTAATGCTGCCTATCATTTTAAAATACCAGACTTAATGGCAAAGATTGTTCAACTCCCCCTAAAAATTCTTCTATTGAAAAGGGAAAAAAATAAAATTACCTTTAAAAACTAATAGTCTGGCAGCATTTGTGGAAGACGTTTTTCCTATTCCAAACCATGAAATTTCAACATGAGATGCATATGGCGGTATTCAATTACACATGATTTCTTAGCATCTTCATACTATATTCTGAAACAAGACTCTTAAACTCATTTAGCATCTACTGGAGATTAAATCTATTTATAAAGAAACAAATCTGTCTTTGAGTTACTCTTAGATGAAGGGAAGAGGCATTTATTTGACTTAGACAGAGCTCCTCTTTTGGCCAGGCCCCTTTCCAGAACAATGAAGGTGAAGGAAGCTGGAAAGGTCAATCAAATTAAGCCTGGTGGCAGATGTTAAACAATCATATCATAATAGCTCTCACCGCACTTGGATTTCATATAATATTACGAATTATACCATATTGGACCAAGGTATTTCCCAACTTGTATTCTGTCATACAAAATTTATATATGGAAATATGTGAAAGAAACTATGAATTATACCATATAGGACCAAGGTATTTCCCAACTTGTATTCTGTCATACAAAATTTGTATGAGGAAATATGTGAAAGAATATGGATTTTCGGTCTACAAGGACATCACTGTTAACATTTGAAATTATGAAATGCATTAATAGAGAAATTCTTCAGTTCACAGAATGGTGCCAACTTCACAGGCATTAAAATACAGAAAGTTTGTTACATGTCTGTATGCCAACAGATGTTCATAGCTTCAAGGACTGACATCCCAACTACAGCCTAATGTTTTAATACTTGGGGAAAATTATTCATACCTCTAATTCTTCATTATTATCGTCTCCTCTTTCATATCCCCCAAGTACTTGCATTTCGGCCATGTTTCTTCGACCTACATTTGCTTGCTCTCTTTGTCGGCTTCCTGATCCTCGTGATGACATTGAGCTTGAGGAACTAGGATCTCTGGGGTTGTTTGACGTAGGGAAAGTAGGTCTACAGTACGGTAGAATATCTTCTATTTAAAGAAATACAAGGAAAGCATGTGAACAAGATAGAAAAATTTCACCTTACAACTTGTCATTCCTGTCTATCTGTAATCCTGGATGGTCAAGCAAGAGTGATTCTGAGGGGCTGGGGAGATGGCTCAGAGGTTAAGAGCACTGGCTGTTTTTCCAGAGGACCTAGTTTCAATCCCCAGCACCCACATGACAGCTCACAATTGGAGTTACAGATGTAACTCCAGTTTCAGGGGATCTGACACCCTCCTACAGATATACATGCAGGAAAAAACAACAATAATATATATATATATATATATATATTGATTCTGAGGCATAAGTATAAACACTTGTGTGCGGTTTGACTTAGAATGGTCCCTACAATCTCAAATATTGCTTAGTCCCTGTTGGTGGAACGGTTTAACAGGATGAATTAGGAGATGTGGCCTTGTTAGAAGTGGTGTGACAGTGGGAATGGGCTCTGAGGTTTCAAAAGCCCAGCCTTGCCCCTTGCCTTGTACTTATGTATCTGACAGAAACTCTCAGCTACTGCTCCAGCACTGAGCCTACCTGCCTGCAGCCATGCTCCCTCCTGCGATGGTCCTGAACTCACCCTCTGAAATGTAAGCCCCCAGGAAAGGGTCTCCCCCATTAGTTGCCTTGATCATGGTGTCTCTCTTCACAGCAATAGAAAAAGCACCAAAGTAGTCAATTATGCCCTAAATTTCTATCTCCTTACAGCTTTCAGTTTACTGAGGGTGAAATCATGTAACTGCTCACTTTTCCTCCATAGCCTGTCTATACTCTGGATATAAATCCATAAAAAACAAAAAATCTCCTGCCCTGCCAGCCCTCAGCGCTTCTTCTGCTCCTTTCTATCCATGCTGTCGGAGTGAAGCTTGGTTCTCCTGGGTCCACTGATATTCTCTCCAGCAGAAGATAAGATGAGGATCGAAGTTTCCTCCTAGAACTGATTTTTCCTCTGTTCTTGCGTGAAAACAGTCTCTCCCTGTGTGACATGAGACCTTGTACTCCAGAAGCCAGCCACAATCCTCAATGGCCCCTTGTTCTTTCCATTCTTTTCATCTGTCTCAGCTCCCACTTCTGACTTCTGGAAGTTTTCTCTTCATGCGTACTCTCTTCTCACTTACAGCTTCTTAAACCTGTTACTTGCTGTTGACTTTGTTTTGTCGACTTCAACACATTAAAATCACTCAGGCTAACAACTCTGCCTTAACTCTATTCTCAGGAGTCAACATGTTCCCTCTTTCCCTGCTGAACAGCCAACCTTCTTAAATGGCAAATGGGCCCCAAGTTGGCAGTTGTAGCTCCTATTCACTCCATCCTGATGAGTTCCAATCATGAGATCTTCATTGCCATTACAATACTGAGAAAGTTGAGGGGTCAACCACATTTCAGTCCTCATAGCTCAGACTTCTGTCTGCTCTTATTCATGTGCAACACCAGTGTTCTTTTAGTGTTTGGCACCCCTTCCTTTTTTAGCTATCTTCTTGGGAAGATAGCTTTTTTATGTGTAAGTGTGAAAGAGAGTGCCTCTTTCATGTCAGTGTCCTGATATTTTCTACTTTCTTTCCAAAGCTTCTCTCTCTCTCTCTCTCTCTCTCTCTCGCCTCCTGTCTTTGCCTCTGCAACCTGAATGCACACACACACACACACACACACACACACACACACACACGCAAGCACATTTGTACTTTTTCTTTACAACTTATCTTGGGCAATTTCATCCCTTCTCATAGGATATAAAATTTGCAGAATATAATTTTGTCTATTTTTTGTGTTGTTATATTCCCAGACTGAGCAAAAAGAGAAGTGACTTTAACTAAAATTTTCATGTCCCAAAACTATAGCTCCCACAGCCAGCTCAATTAAACTTCTTCAAACCCAATATGCTGAACACTGATTGCAAGACTCAGCTCCTCTGAGATTGGCTGTGACACTCAAGAGACTGACACTCAGTGATGACTCAACCCCGGTAACCTCTGGAATTTCATCTCTGCATTTTTTTTTTCTTTTGTGGGGTTTTTGAGATAGGGTTGCTCTGTGGAGCCCTGGATATTCTGAAAGTTGCTCTGTAGACCAGGACTCCATCTCCTGAGTGCTGGGTTTAGACGTATGTGCCATGACTCTAGGCCGTCTCTGCATATTTATGATCTAGTCAAATATTCATCCAATTTCTTACACTCCTCTTGGTGCTTCATAGATGATGACTTTCAAATTTCAGCAGTCTATTTTTTGCCTTGTCTAACGCCTATCCATATTCTTAGACACTCAGTTGATATGTCATTTCTACAGTAACTACCTCTGGATCTTTCCTGACATTGTATCACCCATAACACTAACGGTCCTCATCCTGGACTTCTGGGTGTTATGGCATGATGAAAGTAAAACTGGATATAAACGTGTTTGGGTTTGGCTAGTCTTCAAGACATGCTTGGTGGCATAGGCTGGCTATGTGGAGGACTTAAGGGTCAATGACAGGGAGGACTTGGATACCAAAAATCTTAAAACATCTATGAATTATACTATATACATTCTCTCTTCTCTGTATGTGTGAGCATGTGTGTGTGTGAGACTCTTGGAGGTCAAAGTTGGTGCTTAGAGACATCTGGGGACTTATTCCTGTAAATACAGCACAATGGGTCTTTGATATGTGTAGAAATAAATCAAAAGGAGGTAAATGTCAGCACACAGCATCAGACCTTCAAGTTTTGAAAAGCACTTTCCTTAATTAAAAATATCCATTCATTACATATGTAAATCAGGGTGCCTCTCTCATTAAATAAATAATGTAAATTGAATCAAGAAGGTGAAAATTACACTAATGCTTAGCAATGATAATTTAATGATATACACATGTGGGGTTATCGTTCAAAAAAAAAAAAAAAAAAAAAAGAACGATCTGGAAAACCAAAGCATAATACCTGGATCAGCTAAATGCTTTTCAGGGGATAGGCCTCCTTATTTCTAGATTATGGTTTCCAACTTGGTTCTAAAGATAGAAATACTTTTATAGTGTAATGGCTACTTAGTAAATTTCTGAGGATTGATTTAAACTCCTTCTCCTCTTTGCTCTGATTTTGTCACCCCAAGATCTTTTGTTCCTACTGTGGAATTTGCCCATGATCACAAAAGTGGTCATACTTTGCAGCCAGACATGTAGTCCATGACTGACATCATGGTATTCAGTGTATGAATCACTACTTGGAACACGAGTCCGGAGTCAAAAGTTGAGTGCTCGATCAGCTTTGCTTTAATGGCTGGAGATAAGCTAATGAGCCTTCTGAGCTGATATCACTGAGGACTCTGTGGTCACACAGGGAGAACTGTGTCAAAGGCACAGTTCTTGAGTTGCACTGGAAGTCTGAGTCGATACTTGCAGCAGGAATCCCACTTTAGTCCCAGAACAAAGGGGGACCACTCTTCTTGTTGCAAGGAAGTTAGGGAACACAGAGCAACTGACTGATTACAAATCTTGCCAAAATATACTCTAACAAAATACAGTAAAAGTCCAATGCCTCTGTCATTCCCTCCTGCCCCTCCCATCATTCTTTTCTTTTACCTTTTTCTTTATTCTTTCTTTCTTTGGTTTTTGAGACAGAGTTTCTTTGTGTAGTCCTGGATATCCTAGACCTCCCTCTGTAGACCAGGCTGGCCTTGAACTCACAGAGATCTACCTGCCTCTGCCTCCTGAGTGCTGAGTACCACCACCACCTGTCTTTATCTATTTTTTAAAATCTCTTTTTCTTGCATGGCCTTTTTGCCATATATACATATCATATGTATATGTATGTACATATACATACATACATGCATACATGCATGCAAACATACATACATACATACACACATACATACATACACTGCTGTCAACTCCTATCCTAAAACATTTCACATTTCTTCCAGTTTGGTCCTCTTGACAAAGTCCATGCAAGAGTTCACATCCTAACCTTCTGAGAAGAATCCCTGCTCATCACCTCCTGTTTGAGTGCAAAATGTCTCACAGGTTCCTGTTTGAAAGCTTCCCCACTGGAAGTGCTATTTTGTGGAACCCATAGGAGGGGGGGCAAATGGCAGAATTACTTCAACTGAGGTGGTGGTGGGTATCTTTAACTATTCTATGTGTTCCTGGTTCCTGTTCCGCTCCCACTCCATATCACATTCCTACCCGGTACCCTTCCTTCCATGCACTCTCGGCAAATGTGAACCAAAATAAATCTTTCTTCCCATACACGAGATTTTATCAGAATTTCTGACACAGAAATATGGAAGTGACTAATACACGTCCCTTTCAAGATTTCCGCTCCCTCTTCAGTTCTCCAAAGTCTGGCTTTTGATTATTGCAATCAAAAGTTCTGGCTACTATTCTGACTACTGCAGTCAAAAATAGTCATCATGGAAGACATATTCCAAAAATTTCCTTTTCTCATAAGACTACATCAAACTTTTACCCTGTGATGTTTCATATTGCTTTATTTGTTAGGGGTGGTCACATGTTGTACACACATGCAGTCATGTCTGGCACTTTTTCCTTTTGTCACTTTCTCATGTATGATGCGCATGGTTTACATGTGTGTGGGTGTATGTTTGTATGTTTGTGTGTGCGCATTCGCATGGATGCCTAAGATTGATATCTGGAATTATCTTCCTTCACTCTTCCATCTTATTTATTGAGGAAGGATCTCTTGGTGAAACTCAGAGCTCGCTGATGGCTAGACATGCTAGCCTGCTTGCTCTTAAGATATCCTGCCTCTGCCTTCCAAAGCTAGAATTATAGGTGGACAGCCATGCCCACCCAGCGCTATCACTGGTTCTGGGGATCCTCATGCTTTTGAAAGTAAGTGCTTTACTTGCTGTGTCATTTCCCCAGCACTCCTATGTTTCTTACGTCCATTCTTTCCGTGTGTGTGTGAGAGAGAGAGAGAGAGGAGAGAGAGAGAGAGAGAGAGAGGAGAGAGAGAGGAGAGAGAGAGAGAAAGAGAGAGAGAGAGAGAAAGAGAGAGAGAGAGAGAATGATGCTAACATTGAACTTGAGATCTCTGTTGGTAAGCTTTCCACCATCCACCTACTTCTAATCTTAGTTTTTTTTTAAGACTTATTTTTAAAACTTCTATACATGAGTACGACAGATCTATATCACACCCCCACACACACCGTTAAACTCTTCCCATGTCCCCTTTCCTAATTCATGATGTCTTTTCTTTAATTATTAGTAGTACACTTAATGTTGTTTATGTGTACATGTGTTCAAGACCCATCATTTGGTATTAAACAACTTATGTGGAAGCTTGTCCTTGGAGGAAATTGGTTCTCTCTCTGTAGCTACTGGCCACCTGTTGCTCTTTATTTAGGGATAGGACCTTGTGGAATTTACCCTCTCCATGTTGGCATGTCAACTGGTACTCTCATTATGCTGACCTTTTTCAAGCATAACATTGAAAGTTCATGGGTATATTCTTCTCTTTTATGTCTAGGGGATACTACTTAGCAGTAGGCATCCTGGTCATTTGGATCTTACGATCACTCAGCCCCCTCTTCTGTGATGTTTCTTCAGCTTTAGGTGTAGGCTTGCATTGACGATGTATCAACTGGGGTAGTCCTACCCAGCTGTAATGCTTATAAATCAGGAATGGCCCAGGGAGATAGCCCCAGTGGTGCAAGAGTGGGACTTTTATCTTTGTCGTAAACAACAGCTGTTTAGTTGGACTTAAACTGTGCCTGATGGTAGGGAATTCCTACCTGGTAGCCAACTGCCTGTAGCTGGAGTGGTTACAGACCCTAGAAGAGAACCCACTACTGCCATTCTCTGAAGCTAATATAATACATAACTGTATTCTAAATACTCATCCTTATATTCACAGGTAAGCATAGCTCTCATCTCTCGTCAATGATGAATATTTAGACTAGCAATGCATACTATTACAGATGTGCTGGTTAAAACGCAGAGAGTAGAATACTATTCCTCATGTCTTAGCTATCATGATTGCTCTGTCTTCAGGGTGGACAATTTCCTTGCGCTTTATAGAATGTGGATTCTCTCCCATTCGTAGAATAATCATGACCCCGTGGGCCATTTCACCGGAACTTAACTGAACTCATCTCTGTCTAGTTTCACATTCACTGACCGCACGGTAGCAGCTAGGTTTGTAGCTTTGGGAAATTTTCACACAACAGAGGCAATCAACTTGCTACAAAATAGGTTTTGTTTTGTTTTGCCTCCTAGAGAACTGATGCATAAACATTTACCATACATCACCGTTGACACTTAATCTTCACCATTTATACAGTTGCTATCCCAGCACTGCTTGCTCTAAAATCCACTCCTACTCCAACCCTTTCTCCTGATCTTTGAATCCAGTTTTCTCAACTCTTTTTTGTTTGTTTTTGTTTTTCCAGACAGGGTTTCTATGTGAAGCTTTGGAGCCTATCCTGGCACTCGCTCTGGAGACCAGGCTGGCCTCGAACTCACAGAGATCTGCCTGCCTCTGCCTCCCAAGTGCTGGGATTAAAGGCATGCGCCACCTACATCCATCTTGTTTTTTTTTTTTAATTAAAGTTACCATACAAGGGAGCAGGATTCACTGTTGCATTTTCATACACACCTGTCCTCATAGTTTGTTTGAATTCACCCTCCTCCCTGGTGCCTCTGACCAGCCTCTGTGTATTCCCTTCCTCCCAATCAATAGTCTCCTTTCTGCACCTTATGTCACATGGGTTCCATTACCTCCCTTCCTGTCCCCGTCAAAATGGCTCCCCACTGCCTATATAACACATTTCTAATGGGGTCTTTGGCTTTTCCAATCTAATCACTTTTCTAGTTTTTCCTTTAGCTATTCATGCCTGGTCTTCTTCTCCAAACGCTGAAAACCACTGACCATCAAACACTTACTTCCAAGCTTTCATCCCTTTTTCTCGGTGTATTTCCTTTCCCTGATACCTACAGTCTCCTCGTTTACTCTGCTGAAATCATGCTTTCCCTGAAAACCTAATGAAAAAAGAAAACTGAACTTATGGGGCGTCTCTTCAAAGCAGCCTGTGTGATGTCATGTATTGGCCTCAATTGCATTAGATAAGCTGAGCACATTCCCACTCCACTGTTAGAGAGGTCTTAATCATAATTCTTTTCATACAGCCACCAAAAGCCTACCCACGTGCCTTGAAAGCTTACGGGATTCTGTGTTTGTCTATTGCTGTTTGGAATAGCAGTACCTTGGACGAGGTGTGTCTTGGCTGGAGGAAGGTCTCGCTTTGCTGCCTTGTTTCCCCGCCCTTTCCCGTCATTTTGCTGGTCCTGTGCTTCTCTGGGGTCACTTGGGTTTGTTCGCAGGTCAGGGACTTGTCGTCCATCCAGTGCTTCTCTCCCCTTGTAACTGCCGCCTTTTCTGTCTGACGATCTGTCTGTTCTTGCTTCTATAGAAGCGAGTTTTGGCACCATTACAGGTCGTACCTCCAGCTGTGCCTTGGACTGGACAGTGGGCGATTTGATGGCAGGTGGTGGCACTGGAGGGGGTGGAAGATCTAAAAAAGGAATGTTTTACATGCATCAGATTTGACATGTCTAAATTCATCAAAACTAGGATGAATTTATCACTGGAGTCTCATTCAGTTTGGAGATATTATACTTTACATTGACAAAAGCAATTAAAGACAACAAAAATTAAGACTGATAACTTTAATATTTCTCATCATCCAAGCTTGGAACAACTGAATGATAGAATCAGGACTTGGGGACCCTCTACTACTGTGCATATGCACTATAATTTTCCCCATTCCAAGCCAGCACAGCTTCCTATTTGATTTCAGCATACCTTCCCAGGCCCTAGATGAATATTCTTTTAAGTATTTAGGCAACCTCTTCAAATTGATTAAAGCTGGCACTTAAGTTTTAATTGCCATCGCTAATTTGGCCTAAATCCCTTCTTAATTTATAGGTAGAAGCTCCACACAGATTTTAACTTATTTTCTGATATCAAAGCTGTCTACTGGCAGACCAAAGCCATGCCTTTCGATTCTTAATCTCTACTCTACTCCTCATTTGATCACACACATCTACACTTCAGTCAAGGCTCTGTCCACTCTGTACCCAGACATTTAAAACCAGATAACTACTGCTATGAAATGTAGGTTAATTTCTTACTTTATATGTACACCTGTATCTAGTAGTTACATTTCAAGCAATAGTTTGGATACCATATTAATTTAAAGTCTTTATATCATGAATGTATTTCAAAATGAAAGTATGCATATAGTTTCATATCCAGAAAGTGCATTCTTCTTAAGCAGTGTTGCAATTCATAAAAATGATTCTTAGAAACATTGCACGAATAATGAGAATTATATCTTAATAGCATTTGGTAAGTTAACAAAATATGACCAAGTTTTCAGGGGCTTGAGTGAGGCGTGAAGGATAGATTACAATAAAAGAGATTCCAGGAGATGAAGAGGTTATTTTAATAGTCCATATAGGCAAAGACAGGGGATGAGATATTATGGTGGAATGTTTAGAGGAGAGCAGAGAATACATCTGAGAGACTATGGAAGAAAATTAGTATCACTTAATGATTGATGAACTATAGTACTGGGGGGGGGGGCAATCAGAGATGACTCGTAGGACTTTGGCCATAGTTTACTAGGTAGGTATGAAAACACCCCTGCAGGTGATGAGTGTAGGAATGAGAAAGAGGTTTCCGGAAAGACGTATGTATTCAATTTTAGGAAAGCGAACAGAAGGACTTTCAGCGGATCCCGACATAAATGAAAAATAGTTATGTGTACAAGGCACATTTCAAAATCAGAGAAAGAGGAATCAACATTACAATACACTCAGTCATGTCTGCAGGCAGAGTGATGTTTTCCACATTTGAAAGGTAACATAAGAAAATCTAAAACAATTCATAAAGTACTTTAAAAATACTTACCATAACTTTAGCCTTGGGGTTTCCAATAAAATTATTCATTCATGGTTAAAATGATCACAAAGTAAAAACCACCAAAGCCAAAACACCAAAACACAAAAACACAAATAAACAGTCTTGCATCTTCATTAACGTGAGTTACATCATGTTTCCTTTTCCCAGTCATGTAATTGTTCGCATCTCCAAGTAAAAACATGAATTCTTTTTTGTATAACGTTTTGTTCAGTAAATGGGATCGTTAGGCAGCTATTCTCCCAGAGGAATATGTCGGTCATTTACAGATTTACTGACATTGACAGTGGTCCCCTAATTATCATTTTTATGTGCCTGCTTGAGAAATTCTTGGATATGGAGAAACTATACCTTGAAGGGGCTAGAGATTAGTGAGTAGTGAGAATGCTTGCATGGCATGCACAGTGTCCAGGGTTTGATCCCCAGCACAAAATAAACTGGGCATGGAGGCATATGCCTGTGATTGCAGTATTCAGGATATAAATGCAGGAGAAACCAGGGTCCTCTTTAGCTACACAAGGCCCAGCCAGCCTGGTCTATGTGAGATCTTCTCTCAAAACACCCCCACTGTCAAAATGTAAGGTTCTTACTATGACACTAAATGAAAGAACTGGAGAGCATTAGTTTAATGTAGAATCTATCATTTTTGTATATATTTATGTATGCATTCATGTACATATTTATTTATAAATGGTACCACCTCCCTTCCTGCCTTCTAATAAAAAGTAGGTCTTTTTAAACAAAGTTTCCTTTGGCAGGCTGAGGCTAAGATATCAGGATAAACTGTACTTGACTCTAAAAGAAGAAAGTTTGAGCTATCATTTTACCACTTGCTATTTTCTTTAGGAATCCATGATAAAAGAAAAAAAAATGTTTTAGCCAGGCATGGTGGCTTTAATCCCAGCACTCTGGAGGGAGAGGCAGATGGATCTCTGAGTTCAAGGCCAGGGCCAGCTTAGACTACAAAAAGAGTTCCAGGACAGCCAGGGCTATGCAGAGAAACCCGTTCTCAAAACAAAACTAAACACAAACAACAATAAAGCAAGAACATAAAAGATTTTCTTACTGTACTTTACTGCTAACTTTGTTTTTTTTTTGGGGGGGGGTGGGGGTTCGAGACATGGTTTCTCTGTGGCTTTGGAGGCTGTCCTGGAACTAACTCTTGTAGACCAGGCTGGTCTCTAACTCAAGAATAGTAGCTTCCTGTATATAGTTGCCACTGTGCCTAACTGACAGAAATGCTAGCAGGTTTGATATGCCATTAAATAAACAGATATCTAAATAAAATCTTCTTTCTAAGGTATTGTGGGAATGAGTACGAAGCCAAACCAGAGCTTACTTTGACATGAACAAGTCTTGATTTCCCTTATTGGGGAATAGCATTTTACCCCAAAGCTTACTTTCCCACGAACAAGTCTCTGTCTCTCTTTATTGGTGAATAGCATTTTATCCCAAAGCTTACTTTCACATGAACAAGTCTCTATTTTCCTTATTAGGGAGTATTACCTATTAATACCCCCACTTATGCATTAATTTAAATTGGATTGAAAAACTAGAGAATTAGGGACCTAGTTTTTTTTTTTTAATCTTATGTAACCTTATAAAAGGATTTAGTTTAATTTTATTCTTGTACCCACTTGCCAGCAAGTATGTATGAGTACCATGCACAGGTCTGGTGTCCTTGAAGGCCAGTATGGCTGAAACTGAGTTACAAATTATTTCCATCACATGGATGATGAATTGAACCTAGGTCGTCTTTGGGAGCAGCAGAAGACTCTTAACCTCTCAGCCATCTCTCCAGACTCTCTTTGTGTAATCTTATAAACACTTTCTCCTTTTACAGGAACCCCTCACTAAGAAAATGTCCCTCGCATCAAGTAATACATAGGAAGGCATATTAGGTGATCCTGCCAGTGCAGCAGGAACTCGCTAGACAGAGCCAATGCTCTATTTATATAATTGCTTCAAGCCCCAGGACCTTGTAATTAATGATAAATCAAGTCAAAATAACATCATTCTAAAGAGGATGGTGAATTTATAATTTATGAAAAGTAGGACTGGAGAAATATTATAGATTTGGCTTTTAAATCAAATATGCAAATGTATTGGGGGGAGGGAAGAGTCTATTAGAAGGTTCTGGAAATGTACTTTAACTCCACAAGACTTCAGCTAATACATATTCATATATTCTAATCCTATCCTCCATCTGGGTTAAACGTGAATGTGGCAAACACGAAATAAATAAATAATCAGTTCTGTTAGAAGGACTGGAGGAGTGGACTCTGCTTTGCAGGCAAGTGTTCCCTGGGTGTTCATGAACCTTATATTTGCCTACAGGGCAACACGTGGCCACGATGGTGGAGGTGGGGTGTTGTGCTGTGAATTATGTCCTTCCCAAACACTCTAAGAAGGTTTCTGGTTTTGGAGTCTTTTGAGAAGCAATAAAATTAAAATGAGCTTATTAGATGGGGTCCAATCCAGTAAGACAAAGGCTCTTCTACAAGGAGAACAATTAAAGACACAGGGGAGTCAGTGAGAAGACACAGGAGAAAGGCCTTGGGAGGATGTATCCCTGCTTTACCTACCAGAGTCAGTGAGGAGCCATAGGAGAAAGGCCTCGGGAGGATGCATCCCTGCTTTACCCTCCAGAGCTCTGAGGAAGCACATGTGTGTTGTTTCAATTGTGAGGTCCATGGTATTGGTTCTTGACAGAGCAAGCAACAGATAGACCAGCTAAGAGGGACTCACCCCAAACTACACTTTATTAACTCAGAATGAGATCCTGTTTGTTTTCCTGAATGCTTTAGAAAACACCCGGGGAGATTGGAATTTGGGTGATATTTATAAAGCAAAGGTGCTATAAACTCAAGAATGTTATCCATTTTAGACAGTGTTCTCATAACTAACTGATATACAATAACTAGAATCACCCATCCCAGTCAATACACTGCACTTATAGAAAAAGCAAAAAACAAACAAACAAACAAAAACCCAAAACCAAAACAAAAATCACAAACTTCTCTATATTTTACAAATATGCTTAATTCAGATTTTAACAAAAGACATCTCAAATTTTTTCTTCTACCCACCAATCTTTTTTTGGGGGTGGGGGTGGGTTCCCAGACAGGGTTTCTCTGTGGCTTTGGAGGCTGTCCTGGACCTAACGTTTGTAGACCAGGCTGGTCTTGAACTCACAGAGATCTGCCTGCCTCTGCCTCCCGAGTGCTAGGACTAAAGGCGTGTGCCACTAACGCCTGGCTTCTACCCACTGATCTTATAAAACAGTATAAAAAAACATATCTGCTACCGGAATTCTCTGTAACATGATCTACAGATATATTTTCTTTTAAAAATTTATTGATTTTTATTTTATGTGCATTTTGCATGCATGCATGTCTGTATTAGGTGGTCAGATCCCCTGGAGCTTTTAATATATGTATATATATATACACACACATACACATTTGTGTTCGGGAATTGAACCCTTGTCTTCTGGAAGGGCAACCAGTGTTGTTAACCACTGAGCCATCTCTTCCGCCCTTCAGATATATTTTCTAAATGCAGTATAATAATTTGAAAAAATTCTTTTCTAAGAAAAATCACTTTTGTCTCTATGTCCTAGTTGCTACCAAGAGTATACACATATTATATTGGGGTATATATAGATCATGGTATAGACAGCACAGGGCCCTGGATTTGAGTATCGGAATTATAAAGTGTGTGTGTGTGTGTGTGTGTGTGTGTGTGTGTGTGTGTGTTAGTTTATATTTCTTTTGTTTGATGAATTAAGAAACATCTTAATTTTATGGTTTTAAATAATGCGCATTTAAGGAGGTATACATAACATGTAGCTTTTCCGATGAAGTCTTGAGAAATGAGTTGAAGAAACAGTCTAGTAACCATAACTTAAGGGTGGATGGGTCCTTATGTTGAAGGGAAGATAAAGCTGTAATTTAAAACCAGCTTTACTCATTTCTCTATTATTTATTTTCACGATCTACAGAAAACTATTATTATCCTCTGCATTGTAGTAAGCACTGATAATTTACTTGACCGCTTTGTGAAACGAGCCATTTGAAATTCAAGTAATATTTCACATTAACTTTTTAGCCTTACATACATTTTAATTTAGTTCTTTGGGATTCATGAAATAAAATAAAAAATAACTTTGGTAATTCATCATTCAAATCAATGCTTTTTATTCAAGAATTAGCTAGTATTCATACTTAGTTTTCAAATGCATCAAAACAGGTCCTGTAGACTGCAGGACACAAGGACAGCTAACGGTTCTCAAGAATGGCATAATATATCATTGTGATGCTATGCTTGTTAACCAGCAAACTTGCACTATTTAAATATTTAAAGCATTTTGGGAGGCCGCACTCAGTGCCAGACTTCTCTCTAAATACATATAAATAAGAGGTAGAAAGGTCTACACAAAGTTTTAGGCCAGATTTTTCCATATGTGTTCAATTTAGATGTGTTTACATCTAGGCTTGCCATTTGACCAGTCTTCCAGTGAGGAGTCCTGTCTTCTAGATAATAAACATTGATGAAACAGCAGTAAAACTTGTAAAATGCCATTACAGGGGTCCCATAAATGTAAGATTGCCTGTAGAGTTGGAGGATTTACACCTAGTGCTTGGCCCTTCACAGAGGCAAACATGCGCAGAGCCACTGTAATAAGCTTTCAAAATCAGATAATATTCTGACAGCTCAGTTTCACTGACAAAAGAGTCCTGGGCAGGAGCCAGGAGGCCCAGGTGCTCTGTGTCATGCCAGTATTTAATGCAGTTTAATATCAGATGGATGCTAGTGAGAGAAAATACTCAGAATAAACTCCAGATAATAGCACGGACAACCAACCACTCATGGCAAAATCACTTGAGTTCATCAGGCTGTGAGCTTTACATTACATTTTTTCTGTCAAATGGCAAGACTCCCAGGGAAAAGGACCTCCAAAAAATACCCTCCCCACAACCTTGGATAAGGATCTATAATATTAAGCTTTCATAGGATAATAGCAAATGATGGCCTCTATGAAAAATTGCTGACTGGTCAGGAAAACACCAATCGGATTGTGGGTGCAGACATCCTACCTCTACCCCTTTAGCAAATTCAGAAAACGTGACAAGATGAGTGAGTCTGAGAGAATTTATCTTACATGAATTTCCAATAAAGCCCGAGGGGTTGTTTTATAAAATGAGAAGGCGGTGGTGGTTTAATAAATGCTGGGCCACCTGAGGCACTTTCATTAAAGGCTTTCGCTAGACAACATCACAATGTTTGTATTATCCTCCTCTGGCCCCTTGAGAATACAAGTGTTCCCTCTTCACTGAAAGTCCATATCGCATGCGAAGGCATGACGAAAAGGGTTGGAGCTATCTTTCGGTGCACAGACTAACTGTAAAACCACTATGGTTGCCAAAAATAAATCAAGAAATAAAACCCCAGTACATTTATTGCCCTTTGTTTAAGTGCAAATTTGTTTTTAAAAGATAGAATGAAGAAAATGGAGATATTCTACAGGTTGGATCAGGGGACATCAACTAGAGTCATGACCATTGTGTGAAACTCTAAAATAAACTTTAAAAATTATTCATTTAATTTCTTAACCAGCTGTTTAGAAAAGTTAGTTCATAAGTTAAAGATGGTTGACAAGACGTGGAAGGATTTCACTTCTGTAAGTAACAGAAGGCTACTCTTAAATGACTGTTAGTGTGATTTCTAATGTCAGTGAACACGTTCATGAGCCGGACAGAAGCAGGAGAATGGCGAACCTCCATGACGTTTTCATTCTTTTCAATGAACCTACCATCTGTGTAGGCTTCTCTGCGCAGATGTCCTGGCTGGTGTTTCTGTTTCTTGGTGGGTCTGGTTTTCTGGATGACAGCGGCACTCATGTTGCTGTCTGTAGACACAGGGCTTGTGGGTCTAGGGCACTGAGAGGCATGGAAATGGCGGCGGCCTGAGGAGGAAAGCCAGATGCAGGCTCATCAGTGAATTCTAATGTCATAGAAGCAGCCTAAGCACAACACTCAAGCTAGAAATGATTCCTGATTTTAAAACATATTTAATACCCACTAAATAATGAGGTCCCCCCCCATGCATTCATGCTAACTGGAGAAAACACCCTGAAAGTATGCTAGTCTTCTTTTTGGCAAAACCTCAGGACTTTGATTTGCTAAAGTTCCCAAATATCTTTACATCAGGAAAACACTGCAATTATTTTTCAACTATCATCACTAAAATGTTCTTAAAACAAGAGTGTTATTGTTTCCTTGCACCATACACTCAACCATGAATGTTGCTTTTTTGAAGAGGAAGGATCAGACTCCTTAGCAGATTCAGGTTGTAAGATGCACTGGATTAGTTATATTATCCTTGTTTCAATTGAATCGGTGTATGGCAATCTTTGAACACCAATAACTTAATGACATTCTTGGACATTCTCTTTGTAAGTAAGTGTTCTAAAATTGACATAGGTTACGTAAGTAGTCCTACTCAAATGTGCTTCTGTGTTTTTTTCTGCTTGAAGATATTTGTCAATCCTCACTTTTCAGTGGCCTCTCCAAGACTCCAGTGTGTGGGTCATGGTTATGTTTGGAGAGACAACATTGCCAGGTGATACTGGGAACTTAATTTACAAAGCAGACATGGCTCATTTCAGTGACATCAATTTCCCTGGCCTTTATCAAGATGTGAGACTGTAACAGGTCCAGTGTGTTTCATTGAAAATGACAATGGAAGGCTTTCAGTGCTATGCTGACCCACAGTATTTTGACTTCTAGAAATTCTGTCCACAAATCCACTGCTTTCTATTGAACCCCAAGAAACTTGAGACAGACTCAGAAATCAGACATGTCCTCTGGCTATAAACAAGAAGAGGCCACATCCATTGAAATCAACACATTTAAAAGTGCTAACTGAGGCACATTAAATAACAGACATTAATGCAGCCAAGTGAGAAGCAATGGGATTGGGTTATCCATTCATATTAACTTCAAGTCACATGACAAGCACCACCATTTCTTGCAAAGAATATTGTAATGGGCAGAGGCCAGTGCATGTTTAGTTCATTATAATTATGAGCCAAATGAAACCAGAAGTGCCACTAAATTACAACAGAATAAAATATTACACCCAACTCTTCTTAGCTATGATAGAGACTATTACAATTAAAGTTACATAGCCATGAAAACAGAGAATTAGAGATGAGATGGAAACCATTATTCATTCCATTGTATAAGGCCATCTACTGCTCAAAGACCCTGAGGCAGAAGGTCTTTACAGATGAATTTTCAGCATTATTCCTATGTTTTGTTGACTTAATGAGCTGAAACATGCCATTAATGCACTCTGAAGATAGTGGTTTGAGATGCTTAATTTCATGCATTTATTTTTTTTACAGAAGATTAAAACCTAAGGTAAAACATATATATGTATGTATAATTAGATGCTATTTATTTATTTATTAATAAAGTTAATTAGGTTTGCATATATTACTACATTTGGGAAAGAGAATATGTGGTTGAATTTTATAAAACACAAATCTGAAGTAACTACATATTCTGTGATAATGCGTTGTTGATAAATATTAGACATCTTTTTCCACACAATGAATAATGTATAGATATGGTCTTGTGTTTTAAGTGAAATATATATGAATACATTCTATACTGATTAAAAGTAAGGACCCGTGCAATAGCTCAAGGAAGCAAGGGAAGCTAGCAATGTGAGCTACTAAACTATGAAAATTAAAATAACAGACAGCAGTTATTGACTTGCAATGATCTTTTTGTTTCCAGAAATATGTTCATTTCCTCTTGACCATATTGTTTTCCACAACTATTTTGTATTTTCTTGGCTACTAGAAACACACACACACACACACACACACACACACACACACACACACGCCCATGTACGATACAGACACCCACACATCCACACACACACACACACACATATATATTCATTCTACACAAAGACCATATGGTATTTGTTGAAATTTTAATTATTTTCTTTCTTATTCTGTTTCCTCTCTAAGTAAAAGTTGAGAGGAAGAATTAAATAAAAATGATGTAAGAATCGGTACATTCATTATACTAGGCTGTAGCAATCAAAAAGGGAAAGGGAAAAAAGTAATATGCATTTATATTAGCTTGCTCTTTCAACTACTAGATTATAAATATGAAACATTTATGCTTTAAGATGTATGCATATTTCAAGCATGTTTCCAGTTTATTTGATAAGAGGCATAAAGAGGCGTGACAGTTTCGATCTGCAATGTCCTTCCGCAGACTTCATTATCGAGTACAGGTTCCCTGGCTGGTACTTCTGCGCTGGGGACTATGGAACCTTTATAGATCAGGCCTGGCGGCTAGGTGTGGGTCATAAGAACCAATCTCTGGAGGTTAGACCCCATGCTGGTCCTAGCTGGATTCTCAACCTCTTGTCTCCTGCAGTGTGAGCAGCCACCAAAACAAGTTCCTACCAGGAACTGAGCCTGTCTGTCCTGCCCTTTCCTGGTAAGGGCAGCGCCCATCTCACACCAGGAGTCAAGTATAACCCTTCTCCCTGATGGCATTTCCATCAGAACTGTGATCATGTGATATAAGGGCAGCTAATGTAAGCAATCAAGGAGCCATTTCCCAAAGGTTTATGTGTTCCAACTGGCTATTTTCTTATTTCTCTTACAGAATGCTAATTAAATGGAACTATCAAAATAAACTTCATTTTAGTGACTTTCTGCATGAACTCCATTTATAATATGCATAGAGTAGCACAAAGTTCATTTTAGTGAATATATTTAAATCTCAGAGAAATTTTATCAGTTGACTAAAATGTATGTGTATATATGCAGAAATATATGTAAACATACATGTATACATTTCTATGATCATAATAAATGACAGCACAGTCAGTTTCTCACCAGTCAGCTTATACTGAGTTAAATAAGTTAATAAATTATTTTAAAAGTCTTAACAACTAGGAAATAATCAACCCAAGTCATACTTTTCAACTTTGCTTTCTGTAGACAGTAAAAAAATAGAAAGTGGCAGGCCGTGGTGGCACATGCCTTTAATCCCAGCACTCGGGAGGCAGAGGTAGGCTGATCGCTGTGAGTTGGAAGCCAGCCTCATCTACAAGTCGAGTTCCAGGACAGCCTGGACTGTTCTTACACAGAGAAACCCTGTCTTGAAGAACAAAACAAGAAAGAAAAACCGGAAGCTTTTTTTTCCCACCCAGGACACACGATGGGGACACTGATAGTGACAAACACGCTTGGTGAGGGGTGTGTAGCACTCACCAGAAGCATCCTGCATTTGGCGGCGAGCCACTTTCAGGCCAGCATACTCTGCAGCTGCAGCCACCGCCTGGGCAAAATCGGCATCAGTGAAAAAGGAGCCATCAGACGAGCTGACACTGGAGCGCCCACTCGAAATGTTGTCCTCTTCTGAGGCTGAGCCCCAGCCATTGATCATGGACCCCGTGACAGAGCTCTCGAGGTCCCCAACACTGGATGCTGGGGTCTGCTCAAGCCCGCGTAACAAAAGCCTTCTAGTTTGCATTTTGGCAACTTCCATGTCAGCTTCATCTTCCTCCTCTTCCGGGGCATCTGTATCCATATCTGAGACGAGGGGTCCCGAAATGTAGCCGTAAGTATGAGGTGGGGAAATTGGTCGTGGAGGTGGAGGAGGACTCACGGGCTGCCGCCTGTAGGAAGATGAAGAGAGGAACAGCTCAGCTCACCCCTTAAAGACACAAACACGGAAAATTAACCCAGAAGTTTGTGGTGACTAGCAGCCACTCTTCTAGCATCTTAGTTTCTGTTCCCATCACAGTGAGACGAAATACTCTAACAAAAACAACGTAAGGGAGAGGAGGTGTATTCTGACTCACAGTTCAAAGCTACAGCCCATCCTGACAGAGAAGTCAAGGTGGCCCGGGCTTGAGGCAGCTAGAAACACTGTACCACAACCAGGAAGCAGAGGGCAATGGGTGGATGCTGCCACAGTCAGGATGCTTTTCTCGACTTAGACAGTGCATGGTCACATCCAGAGAATGGTACCAACCATAGTTGGTGAGGCATGCTACCTCAGTTAGTGCAATCAAGATACCGTTACACACTTTCTCTCTCTCTCTCTCTCTCTCTCTCTCTCTCTCTCACACACACACACACACACACACACACACACACACACACAGAGAGAGGGTGGGGTGAGGTTGGGGGAGGGGAGGCCTGTTTCCCAGGTGTTCCAGATGTCTTTTGATTCTGTCCTTTGACAATTACAACTCTCACAGTCTATTATTTTATTCAAGTCAAAATAAAGATATTCAGTTCTCCAAGTTTCCCCATGTTTGTTCATTTAATTCTGTTCCCTTAAGAAAAGGATACCATAACAGAGGGAGACATTTTAGGTTTACAGAGAAATCAGGCACTAGGGAAATGTCTAGAGAGCTACAAAGATGACACCAAGGAACAATCTAAGCAACAGAGGAGAGGCTTCCTTAAATGCCCTCCCCTAATAATAAGATGGATGACTGACTTACATGCCATCCTATAGCCTTCATCCAGCAGCTGGTGGAAGTAGAAGCAGACACCCACAGCTAAACACTGAACTGAACTGGAATCTAGTTGCAGAGAAGAGGGAGTGATGGGCAAAGGGGTCCAGACCAGGCTGGTGAAACCCACAGAAACAGCTGACCTGAACAACGGGGAGTTCTTGGTTCCCAGGCTGACAGCTGGGATACCAGCATGGGACTGATCCAGACCCCAGGAATGTGGGTTTCAGTGAGGAGACCTTGGAAATCTACCGGACCTCCTGTAGTAGTTCAGTACTTATCCCTAGCATAGCTGTGGACTTTGGGAGCCCATTCCACATAGAGGGATACTCCCTGAGCCAAGACACATGGGGGTAGGCCTAGGCCCTATCCCAAAGGATATGATAGACTCTGATGACACCCTATGGAAGGCCCCACACTCCCTGGGGAGCAGAAAGGATGTGTGATAGGTAGGGTTTTAGTTGTGGTAGGGGTGGCGCGGAGGGAGTGGGTACTGGGATTAACATGTAAAACAATCTTGTTTCTAATTCAAATAAAAAAATCATCTAAAAAAAGGAAAGAAAAGGTAGGGCATGAGTAGTTCTTATTTGGTGTCATATGGTATTTGTGCTAAAGACTTTCTAATATTCCCAGTTGCTTATTAAAAGTAATAGACACTCGTCTTGAAACAGTGTGCTCTACACACATTTTTCCTTCTCTTTTCTTCATTGCTGCTCCTACTATTCAGAGAAAATGGAGTCATTCATCTTGACAACATTCAGCAAAATTTCATATGATTAAAAAATACATATTCAGCATATGCCATAATTGCTTTTAGACTTTATTCTATTAAGAAAAGCTATGAGATCCAAGAACAATTTTCTCTGATTTAATCACTTACGAGTTCCACTAAAGGTTATGAACTCTTTTTAAACTCAACTGCTTTTTAGTGTCGTATTAATTATCTGTTCCTGCTTAACTGCACTTCCACCCTTCAGAGGTGGTATTCAGCTGGGCAGGCTTGTGTGCATCTATCCACTTGACTATTCAATAAGGTTAATGGCATTTATTCTAATGTCACAGAATTTGCTATGGATCAAAACGAGAGGAAAACACTATGAATACCACACTGGGTATTCATATAAATAAGGGCCCCAGCCATTTGTCCAAAAGAACTCCATTCAAAAGTAAGTCTTTTCACAACGCACAGTGAGTGTGCGATGGCTGGGAGGGTGGCAGTCACGTGGACACTGTGCAAAGAAGGCGTTCCTACTGAAGGAGAAGGCAAAGGAATGGAGCATGTCCCCAAAATGAAGACACAGGGAGTCTTGTTTAGTGACTCCTCTCCAAGCCAGAAGAAAGGCCTATTAATTCATACCAGCTGCGCATCACCGCTAGAAGGAGGCTATCATTAGGATCTGGCATATCACCTGGAAACCCCACAGCTCGGAGAGACGATGCATGAGCGCTAATCCACATAAAGATGTGGAGAAAGACTCTGGTGTCTAGAGATGCTGTCTCAGAGCAAAGTCCTCATTCCAGAGGTGCGTTAGTGGCGGTGTGTCCCCTTCTCCATTGCGACACTACTCTTGAGTGCGACGGGTGGGGAGAGTGTCCAGCGGTGTCCCCTGAGGAGACCCAGCTGGTGTTCTCTCTTCTTTCCCTCAGGATTGGGAGAGGCAGGGCAAAAGATCAAAAGTAATGGCAGAGATGTGCCACTACCCCATGCCACCACACCCCCCCCTCCAAAGATTGTCTGGGAAGGCACGATTGAGGTTTTTAAACGAACAGAGCTGGGTCTGCAATGAAAAGCAAGCAGACAGTGCTGCTCTGCAGGTGGTCAATATCTACCTGTGGTCACAGTCAGCCAGGTTCTGCAATGCTGTCTAAAGAGAGATAAGTAAGTCGAACACCCCACCCTTTACAGCATGGTCTGGCAGTTCTTTGAAGTAAGCTATTTTCTGCTTTGGATCCCAATAAACGGAGACACTTCAATAAAGTTATTTTATTACTTAAAATTGAAAACCATAAAAGAGATGACTTTTGAAACACCACAGTCAACTTATTGAGACACTGGCTGGCTATATTTTACAATGTTAATTAATTCTTGTAACTTGCTGGTTTGCTTTTTAAGTGATCAGTTTACACAAAAGTATACTAAAATTCAAAGGCTGTGAGGTTCTTATAGTTCTTATAGTTCAATTCTGTAAGTTCGGAATTGAAACCAAATCATATTGCCAAGGCCACCACTTTCCTTCTAGGAATGGTAGTGGTGCCCCTCCCCACCTCCCTTTAAAGGAATTATATGCATAGATAAAGACATAATATTTCATAGAGTAAGTTCATTCTTATATATTTGTATGTCTACATATATATATAAAAAAAACATGTATACATACACATATCACACACACACAGGCCTACAATATAGTGGATTTGTTTTCTCTTCTGGGTGGGTTCAATTTATCTGTGTGGGTGGCACTAGAAGAAATATGAAAAATGTGCCAAAGCTGAAGTTATTTAAAAGATTAAAATGGATAATTGCTTCAATGTGGAATGTGTTATACACACAGAAAGAAAACCATTGTTTAATTTGGAGTGTAATAAAATTGTGTACTTAAAAGTTAATTTACAGCCTTTGTCAGCACACAGAGCCACAAGAGCAGGCAACTTTTGTTGCTTTTTAAAGACATGTTAGGGTTGCAAGCACAGAGGGGGCTATTTTGACCATCCATAAATTGCTGTGGAACCGCTAGCTCCAGTGTGAAAGGATGCCAATATTGTTGTGCCTCAAGAATTTACATTCTGGAGAGCAAAAATACCTTCATGTTAAACAGGGGCTGGTTTTCTAACTCCAAACCAGGCAAATTCTGAGAAAAGGCAGAAAAATTTATTCAAACCATCTGTAAATAAGGCCAGCCCAGGGACTGTGTGATAAACATGTACAGTTTGAAATATGTAATATATTCTATTGGAAAACAAAAAGCTATTTCAGGATGCTGCATTCACATGGAGCTTGTAGCAAATGAACCTCAACCCTCTAGATTCTTCCCCTCAGGGGTTTCAATGGCTCATGAAATAATGTAAAAGCCTATGTTGGCAACTCACAGCACTCTAGGCTGCTGCAAAAATGACGCCTCCATAAGTATGTTCAAGAGGAAGGGGAGTGATTCCGCTAATTTATGAAAGCAGGTGTATCTACAGTTCACCGAATGACACTTGCCAACCAAGAGACAGAAGGGAAACCTTTGTGATTTTTTTCCCAAACAATAGCATAGCATAAGTATTCTGTGTAATTAACTCTCTCCTGACTATTTGTAAAAAGGACATTTAATTCTGCTTTGTCATTTGAATTCTTTTTCCTCCCAGTAATACTAACTTAAAGCTGTTTATATTAAAAATACAGGCAAATTTCCTAGCTCACATATGAATATTATTCATGGTTCAGGACATTTTGGTTAAATATTAACTGTAGCAAGGCAACATCAACTGACCCCTTTCAAAACAACAGATGTGAACAAAGTTTAGACACATAATTTTTATTGCAACTGACTAAAATAAATGGAGATTCCTAATACATTAATCAACTACTTTACTGTTTTAGATATAAATGGAATACATTGGAAATTGCAATATTTATATTTCAAGTCTCTCTCTCTCTCTCTCTCTCTCTGTGTGTGTGTGTGTGTGTGTGTGTGTGTGTGTGTGTGTGTGTGTGTGTTTGAATGTGCACATGTGCAGGTGCTCATGTATGGAGCCAGATGACAACCTTGGGTATTGCTCCTCTTGCTTCTTTTTGAGTCTCTCACTAGTCTGGTCTGGGCTACACTGGTTGGCCAAGAATTGGCTTGTCCCTTACTCTACAGGGATAGGGTAACAGGAGGAATCCACCCTGGCAAGCTTATTCTCATACAGATTCTGTAGATGAAACTCGGGTCCTCATGTTTGCAAGGTAAATATTTTTCCAACTAAGCTATCTCCTCAGCCCAACAATGTGAGCCTTTAAATTCTTAATAAATGTCTTTGTATTATAATGCTTTGACTTCTGTACTTTTCTTAATATATCATAGTATTTATATATGTCCATAGTTGATAGTCATAAAATCAATGAATAATTTTAACATTTACTGTACCTGTTATGATAAATATCCTAGCTATTTAAATCAAAGAGA